TTTTAATAAAAAAAGTCCATGCCATCTATTTGTAATAGGGCAGGCGAAAAGGAAGGAAATAAGAAAAGTTATCGCTTGAGTTAGACAATAGAATTTAGTTCTGGAGAGATTTCAATACAAGTTGAAAGGAAGGTCAAGTTTGGGGAGGAATATGACACAGTAAGATTTCAAGGGATAAGAGAATGAGCTCTTCCTTATTTAAGAGTCATTTGCTTGGTTGGGGGCACATGGTGCAATATGCAGATCTTGTAACATAGAAACCTGAAACCTATATGATCATATTAACCAATGTCACCCTAATAAATTTAATTTTAAAAAAGGAAAAAACAGTCATTTGCTACAAAAAGAAAATCTTGGCAACATATGCTCAGGCTTCTCTTTTCTCCCCACCTCTCTGCTTTCTTTCATCTGTACGTAGTGTACTAAATGAATCCAAACCTAAGAAGTTATTGAAACAAGATAAGAGCTAAGTTTCATAAACCTGAAGTTTTGAGTTCTGGGACTGGAATAGTAATGCCCTAAACAATAATTTTCATGTAAGAAAAAACTTGGATTCCTCATATGGCTTGATCATATTTCAGTCTCATTTATTTCCTTTTCATGACTCAAACATTTGGATTTCAATTCCTTGCCAATTCTTCTATATCCCCAATTTGACCTTCCTCTCAGCATTAATATTTTCCACCCAAGTTCTATACAGAAACATGTTTGAGAATATCAAGGCTAATTTAAGTCAAGAGAATGGTGAGAAAAGTTAGGTAGTTAATCCTTTAGCAATGCCCCTCCTACCTTCACCCAAAGTAGATGGATGGGAAGTTTTTAAACAGAAAAAAAAAAAGAAGATAAAGTTGGGAGGGAAACAACAAGAAAGAGGTAAGGATAAGTTCAAGGAAAATGGTTCTACTTTGGCAGAAGAAAAACAAATGTTATATTTAGCAGCTTTGCTAGTCCTATTTCAAAGCAAAAGAATAGGTATTATCTTACTAATTTACTGATACCCATTTTAGCATTGCCTGCTTCTCCATAACTTGCAGCTCATTCCTCATATCAGTTGGTAATTCCACTACATAAATTTCTAATGAATCCAGTGAAGCCTGGAAGCTAAATTCTTCATACATAATTTTTCTTTCTAGAGCTATAGAGCATTTCATAGATACTTTCTCTTTTATTCACCAGGCATTTCTATGACTGCAACAGAAGGCTGTGTACCCTTCAGTGGTCGGCAAACCGCGGCTCATGAGCCACATGTGTCTCTTTGGTCCCTTGAGTGTGGCTCTTGCACAAAATACCATGTACAGTGTGATGGAAACTTCGTGGCCCATGTGCAGAAGTCGGTTTTTGGCCTGGGCGAGTGTATTTTGAAGAAGTCATGTGAATTGTCAGGAAGAGAGAACCAAATTCCAGACTTCAAGTTCTGGACTTTTTCCACTGAACTCTGCTACCTCTCCTCTCTAGACCCAATGACGTACTTTCCAGGCGGTGGTTCTTTCTGACCGATGATTGCTCTTCCTGATTTTTAATTCCCCAAAGAATCTCTCTTGGAGAGCTTCCTCTAGGTTGGTTTCATTCCATTCATCAACCCCTTTGGATACAGTTCCTCAGCATGTTACACATTCAGTTAACATTTTTCTTTCTGACTTCTCATCAAGGAGTTGCTACCCTGGCTTTATGATCATATTTGCAATCTTGGGATGGAACATGTCTGGGCCTGAAGACAAGCACATTTATGGGACTACATACTCTTTTAATGCCTTCTCACCTACCTTCTGATTGAATTCCCTTCTAGAGGTATTTGTTTAAAATCACTTTTTGGTTTGAGATCATTTTTTCCAAGAGCAAGTCAAGAGGTTGGCAAACAATGAGAGGTTTTGACTGTTGTTTTTGTAGCTGACTCAAGGATACCACTTTGCCTTGCCCTATGACTCTGAAATAATTTCTTTGTGCTTTCAAATTATCTATATATATAAAAGGCAAATATGCAAATTGTCCCCTCGGGAGTTCGACCATTTGCTATGACATGCGTTGACCACCAGGGGGTGACGTGGAACAGAGGAAGGCCCCAGCTGGCAGCCAGAAGGCCCTAATCGATCAGCCCTGATTGCCAGCCAGGCCTAGGGACCCTACTCATGCATGAATTTTGTTCACTGGGCCTCTAGTATATCAATAAAATTGGAATCTCTCCAGTGGCAGAACAATCACTGGTTTAAAATATTACAAAGACATTGATAGGAGAGCAGAGCCCAGCTTTTTGGGATGTTTTGGTATATGTGTGGACTAGGCTATGTTGAGGGTGAAATGAATGGTAGATAGATTATCCAAAATCAATGATTGCATCAGACAAGCCATTGCAAAATAAGAGGATACGTCACTTGCTGGCTCCTCATGTGATATGCATCCATTAACGTTTTGCTACACTTCAATAAATAAAATGAAAAACAGAACCTTCAGAGGTATTTCCCGGATGTTCTACAAAATGTATGCATCAAAATATATGATACAGTGGGCCTTGAAGATAGCAGTGCCATGGCTTTAGCAACATGAGAACTGTGGGGTACGGCATCCACAGAGGTTGCATGAGAGGATGATGATGTTCTCCAAGACACCAGACTGCTGGAGGAGCTGTTGTCCAAAGGGAGCAAAAGCAGCAACGAGGCTCTATTTTCTAGGGCACTGTCATCTGTTCAAGGGATGTGGAAAAGCTTTATAATATATGCAAGAGCTGCTGCCAGCAGAGCAGCCAGGCTAAGGAGCTGAAGAAAGGAGAAAACTGTCTCCCTTCTTCCTCCTTCGTCATCTCCTGTCTCCTCACTCCTCACCATCCCTATATCTACTCCTCCCCCCATATACACACTTTGCTCCTCATCCCTAAGTTCCTCCGAATCCTAGTCATTAAGATCCCTTCCCTCTCCCCATGTTTCAGCCCTTTTAGTCTCTCTTTTAATGACTTCCCTTCAAGCAGTTTGCCCTCAGAATCCCCTCCCCTACCTACCAAAAACCTTCCTAATAAGATTTAGGGGATAGCCAAGTCAAATGATTTATAAGTTGTCTCTCCGTATGGATTATTTCTATATTTTTAAAAAATTAGTCTAATTTATTTGATTCCTAACAGCATTAATTTTGGAATTTCAATTTTTAAAACCAATTTCTGAAATTTTGCCACTGCTCTACTAACATAACAGTAGGATGCAATATAAAATAAGGACCCAATGGCATTTATGCAGGTTCTTGTACAGGGAACAGAGATAGAATGAGAGGCCTACTACATTAATCCACTGGGGCCCTATTTGAGATGATAAGAAAACTTAGGAAACCTATGACTGGGCAAAAGGGGCAGAGATACTGGATCAGAATCCTTTGATCTTTAGCTCAGCATTGGATTTCAGTTTGGTGGGAAAATTACCCTAACGCCCAGGTCTCCAGATCGATAACTTCATGTTGTCAATAAAACATATGAGCTTGAAAAATCAGGAAGAGGAGTTTGAATCCTGGCTCTGCCTCTTACTATAAGTGGTGTGAGTTTGCAAAAGTTATTTAGCCTCTTTAAAACTGTTTCCGGCCCTGGCTGGTTTGGCTCAGTGGATAGAGCGTTGGCCTGTGGACTGAAGGGTTCCGGGTTCAATTCCGGCCAAGGGCACATGCCCAGGTTGTGGGCTTGATCCCCAGTGGCGGGCATGCAGGAGGCAGCCAATCAATGATTCTCTCTTATCCTTGTTGTTTTTCTCTCTCCCTCTCCCTTCCTCTCTGAAATCAATAAAAATATATTAAAAAACAAACAAATTGTTTCCGTATCTGTAAAGTGGGGCTACAGTTGCTGGGAGGTTTAAATGAGCCAACCTGGCAAGAGCAGACAGAGTTTATTTTAATTAAGGTTAGTTAGCCTTCTCCCTGCCCTCTTTAGCCCTTTGCTTGACACCTGCAGTCAACACGGATTGCACAACTCCTAGATTCCCAGATCACATCTAGGAAGGGAGGAAAGTGGCCAAATCTTTATCAGGAATTTAAACTCCTGGTTTATTTGCCCCTTAGCTCAGTTATCTTATCACTGCTGGTATAATTCTCGAAACCTCTCTGGAACTCAGTTCATTCCTCAGTGGGATAAGACAATAACGATCGATGCTCTTAAAACACAGGTTAGATAAGAGGCAACTGACATTTATGAAATACAATGTTACCCAAGGATAAAAATGTAGAGTCAAGCCCTGGCCAGGTAGCTTAGTTGGTTAGAACATCTTCCAGATACACCAAGGTTGCAGGTTTGGTCTTGGCACATACAAGAATCAACCAATGAATACATACATGGAACAACCAAATCAATGTCTGTCTGTCTCTGTCTCTCTGTCTCTCTCTCTCTCTCTCTCTCTCCCTCTTTCTCTCAGCTTTCCTCTCGCTCTCAACATCAATAAATAAAAGAAAAGTAAAGTCAAAACACATATTCAGTAAAATGCCATTATAGGGTACAGCAGTGTTTCCCAAAATGTGGGGTGTGAATTGCTGGTGGTACACAAAATGATTTTACGTGGAAATCAGCTGCAGCATAAAATGGCATAGAATACACAGAAAGCTATTCCCTTTTTAACAGTCTTTGATTACCTCAAGAATTATCATTTTGGGTCCCTGACACCTGCTTATTTCTCTCTTTAAAAAGAGAGTAAGCCTCAGGTTCCATACCTTCAGCAAGAGGAGTAATTAAGTGGAATTTAGAAATATTCCCAAAGTTTTAATTTTTACATTTATCTTCTTATTATACTAAACAATACCGGTTTTCCATTTATGATAATGGCAAAAAATTATTAAAATGAAGTTTTAAAATACATTACATATTAGAAAATTTTATATTTTAAAAAATGAGTTAGCAAATAAAAATATTGAGTTCTAATACAGTGTGGATTCAGACAAATTGAAAAGAATAGTTTGCAAATAACTGAAGCTCAGGAAATACTGGCCTGGGGATGGCGAATAAGGATACCTGGATTCTGGTCCTGCCTCTGGTAGTAACTTACTGTGTGACATTGTCGAAGTCACTGGAACCTCTCTGAGTCAGCATCTTCATCAGGAAACTAACAGGGTTTGCTTAGGTGGTCTCCAGGGACCTTCTGGTTCTAATATCCTGTAATTTGAAGCAGATGATTAGAGCATTTTCTGTTCTTTTGGCTAAGAATCAATGGCTGTCTTCCTACCCTATTTTCTCTCCATAACGCCCACCCCCTTTCAGGCATTTTGATATCTAATCCAGAAGAAATATGGATCTCCTTTTTTATTAACACTCATAAATTTAACTAGCGCATATGTTATTCCAAAAATGCAAAATGAAGGAATTCTTGGTAATGGAGAGAATGCTGGATTTTGAGGGAGATGTCATTGATCCTGGCCCTAGCTTTGCCATTTACTGACAATGCGATCTTAGGTAACCTTAAGTTCCCTTTAGCACTAAAATTCTATGAAATGCAAATGAATCTATAAAAAGGAAATAGATCAACTGAGAATTTACTTCCTTTCCTTTCTAATTGCATATTTACCATCTTACAGTAATATTTTAATATAGACTCCAAGCTGAAAAGAGATCTTTATTTTAATCCTCATTTTGATACTAACATGGGATTTGGGACATGGTAGGTAATTAACAAATATTTCATGAATAAATAAAGAGTGGCTTCTCACTCTGGCCAGTTGGCTCAATTGGTTGGAGTGTTGTCCCATACACCAAAAGTTTAGGGTTCAATTTCTGTTCAGGGCACAAACCTGGGTTTCAGGTTTAATTCCCGGACAGGATGCCTGTGGGAGGCAAACCCTTTAATGGTCTCTCTCAAATCGATATTTCTCTCTTTCTAAAATCAATTTTAAAAATATCCTCAGGTGGGGACTAAGAATAAGAATAATGATACTTTTTTTAAATAAGTAAAACTAATTTAAAAAACATTTTAAAGTGGCTTCTTGTGAGGCCAAGAAAAATCATATGTCATCAGGTAAGAACTTAATTCAAAGGGAGTTAATTGAGAACCTACTATTTATTTGGCAGCCATATTTGCCAGGCATTATACCTTTTTATTTTCCATAAAGAGCAAGATAAGAAAGACATGACCTCTGTCTTCCATTATGACCCTTTTGGGGGAGATGGCACATATATAAATAACTTCATTATGCTGAAAGAACTACAGTACACTAGGAAAAGTGCTGAGCTTCTTATAAGCAGAACTGTGCCTCAACTTTATTCTTCCACTAACTAGTTGTATGAATGTGAGAAAGTCATTTGTACAATCGAACATCAGTTTCATCACCTGTAAAATAAGTTTACACTGTATGATCTCTAAGGTCCCCTTCAGCTATGAGTCTGAAAGTGATTTTATGCCTCTGAGAAATTACTTTATTTATTCTTGAAAACTTTTAACTCTATGTTGGAGGCGATCTTTTCAATACAAGCAAAGTCATCAAAATGTTTTTTATTGGCTTCAATCTTCAATTGCCTCAATCTTTGAACTCTCCTATTAGTAAACTTTCTAATTTGGTTTCTCTTTATTTTTGTAAAGACAGTATTAAGAACACTTGCTTTCTAAATTAACTTCAACTATCCTATTAGGAAGTTAGATGAAAGACACAATTCAACTCCATTCGACAAACGTTTATTGAACATCAATTATGTGCAAAGCCCTAAAAATGATTCCAAGATAAAGTAAGGTCATGGCCCTTAGGAACCTACAACCAAGTAGAGAAAAGAAAACATTTCCATTATATCAAGGGTATTCATTTCATAGAAAGGGAAAAACAAATCCAGAAAGCAAAACGATAAGGAAGCTTTAAAAGAACTTGACAAGAAATAATATGAAGGCGTACTGGAAATCAGTCAGAAATTCCACAGCCTAAAAAAAACTATCACCTATAAACTAGCAACTAAAGGCATCGGTAGGAAGATTGAGCATTTAAATCCATCACACAAGGACCAGACAAGCTAGTGGGGGCCAGAAGCTCGCGTGGAGATAGCCTATCAGCTGTCCTCAGGACTCTCTGGGGCCCGTGAAAAAGATTCAAACTCCAGTCAATGTGGTTGCCCTCCAACAGAAGGGAGAAACAACTGATCAAAAGCCAGGCAACTGCCGTGGCCCGTTTGGCTCAGTGGATAGAGCGTCGGCCTGCGGACTGAAAGGTCCTGGGTTTGATTACGGTTAAGGGCATGTACCTTCGTTTCGGGCACATCCCCAGTGGGAAGTGTGTAGGAGGCGGCTGGTCGATGTTTCTCTCCCATCGATGTTTCTAACTCTCTATCTCTCTCCCTTCCTCTCTGTAAAAGATCAATAAAATATATATTTTTTAAAAAAGAATAATAAAGAAATGTTTTAGAATTAAAGGACAATGTGTTTTATGGAGAAAAATAAAACAGAAAGAGAAATATACAGTGCTGGAGTGGAGGAAACTTGGGGGAGTTTGCCATTTTATATATAGTGGTCAGAAAAGGCCACACTGATCCCTTCCTCTCTATAAAAAAATCAATAAAATATATTAAAAAAAAATAAAAGCCAGGCAACAGAAAGCATTTCCCAAACAAGAAACAAAATAATAGAGGGGGAAGGGAGTACCAAGTAAGAGAAATCTTTGTGTTTTGTGTGGTATGTGACGTGTAATTTTCTTTCCCCTCATAACCTCTATAGAACGGTCACAGGCAGAAACATTCAGAAAAATGAAAATGCAAAGCTCTCTCAAAGGAAAAGAAAAATGATTGATATGAGGAAAATCTCCATTACAGTGTGGAATATTCCATTTTGTACAGATTTCTCCTGAAGGTCAAGGGCTGAGCTAAAGGACACAGCTAGCATGTGAGTGCCTGAGTTTAGGAGAGGAAGGGGAGCCCTGGCCGATAGCTCAGTTGGTTAGAGCATCTTCCCCATACACCAGGGTTGCAGGCTCTATCCCTGGTTAGGGCACATACAACAATCAATCAATGAATGCCTAAATAAGTGAAGTGGAACAAGTCTCTCTCTCTCTCTCTCTCTCTCTCTCTCTCTCTCTCTCTCTCTCATCAATCAATAAAAGGAGAGGAAGGGGAAGAAACTGGGTTAGCTCAGCAACAAGCACAGGGAATCAATCCTGAAGAAGGGGCCTCATGCTTACTCTTTTAGATATAATATGATAATTTTATGGGGCATTCCAGCCATAGATATAGAAACATCGCACCATTTCCCACACTTCTGAGCAATTTTAGATATAGTTGTAAACTAAGATAAAATTATACATCTTTGAAAACCCAATGCTGATATTCTGCCCATACCACACTGTCAAAACACCTCCACAAAATATGTGAATCAGGAGGAAGAGTGAAAAATAAGATAGCAGGGTAAAAGTGGGGCCACTGTTATTTCATCCTCAGAAAGACTACCACAGAAAAAAAGGGGTTGCCACCAGAACTTTCCTCTGGACCCTGCTGTTTTTCCAGCATGTTTCACAATTATAAAGGTACCTATTACTGTTTATTAATGGATATGTTTATGTATTCAAAGTAAGCTTGTCTAGCTAAATCCTGAGCAAATTCCACAATCTTCAATCTAGAATCCCAGACTTAGCTCTACAAATCCATGATTAGAAACTCCAGCCCTGAATGAGTTGGGATGAATTCTTCAGCTTTGCCTAAGAGTTAGCCTGCGGGGGAGCTGGCTAACAATTACAATAGCAAAGAGGTCCAAAAAGCAAAATGAACACCAAACAAGCAACTATCTTATTGTTTATTGTCTAAGCCATGTGGGCTTTCCAGGCTGTTATTAACTTTTATTTGTTTGTTTGGTCTTGTTTGTACAGAGTCAAAACACTATGGCAAACTTTTTCATCTCTGAAATTTAACCACATTAGGGAACAATAAAATATTTGGTACTCTGGATGTTGTAGTTTTTGTTTCTTTTTTCCTGGTGGTGCTGCCTTCAAACCCGTTACAAAATGTATTAAGTAAAAAAAAAAATCTTAATCATGTTTGATTATTGTTTTAAGTAAGTATTGTTTCCCTTTAATTATAGGAAGGAGACACTTATTGTTCTTACCAAGACATAGGTTTAGAAATAAGATCCTGTCCTGGCTGGGGAGCTCAGTTGGTTAGAGTATTGTCCTGATATGCCAAGACTGTGGGTTCCATCCAGGGCACATATAAGGAAAAACTAATCTATAATAATAAAAGTGTAATATGCTAATTAGACCAGACATCCTTCCCGATGACCTTCCGGATGACCTTCCGGACGAAGCCTGGGCTGTGAGGGAAACCTGGGTCCCAGGTGCCAGAGGGAAGCTGGTGCTGGCAGCTAGGGGAAGGAAGGCCTACTCTTGCACTAATTTCAGTGCACCGAAAATAAGTAAAATAAAGAAATAAGATCCTGCAAGAATCCTTATTTAGAAATTTGTCTATAACTTCAGAGACCAATATGGACCAATATCTTAACAGCAATCCACTTGAATTGCTCTTATTTTTGGTGAATATTGATTCTCCCCAAAAAAGGCCATGGTTGTGAACTGAATGCATTCATGACATCAAGGGAAATATACCTATAATTGTCCATATGAGTAATGAAAAGTTAATTACAGGAGAAGTCCACCTTTCTGTGCTATTATTATGTATTCTGGAGGAGAAAAAGAAGAAGTTCACCTCCAAATGAAGTTAAGATTACCTACAATAATGTGGTGAAATTTTTTTTTAGTTAATATAAGAAATTATTATCTTATAATATGAGAGAAAAAAGGCAAGACAAATTTTTATATTGCAATCTACTTCCAAATGCTAATTATTTACATATGTGTGTTATATTTTCCTTGAACAAAAGTATGTAATCAGCTCTAGGCAGTTTGGCTAAGTGGATAGAGCGTTGGCTTGCGGACTGAAGGGTCCCAGGTTCGATTCCGGTCAAGGGCATATACCTTGGTTGCAGGCACATCCCCAGGAGGGAGTATTCAGGAGGCAGCTGATGGATGTTTCTCTCTCATCGATGTTTCTAACTCTCTATCCCTCTCCCTTCCTCTCTGTAAAAAATCAATAAAAAATATATTTAAAAAAAATATGTAATCATTATTGCTCCCCCTCTCTTATGCTTAAGTACCTCTCTACCAATATAAGAAAATGGTAGAGAAAAAACATACACCCCACCCTTAAGAGGTATAACTCCATGAAATGCCATACTGTTAAAACAACATTTTGTTGAGGTGTGAGAAATGGAATATAAGGGAGGATGAAAAAAATTTTTAATTGTATTTTAAGATAGCAAATGGTATTTTAAGATAGCAAAAAATTATGAGTAACCAGCCTTAGATAACGACACAGCAGCAATGTTTTCTGAATAACTCAAAAATGAGATTCAAAAGAATAGGGTGGGAGTTTTTTAGTGATTTTGACACTGTTGTGATGAGCTAATAATAATGGGCGAAGAGCAAAGTGGGAGGCCAGACATTATAAGCATGGTCATTTGGACAGCTTCACCAGAAAGCTGCAACTTCACACTCCCCAGGGAGCCACTGGTCCATTCCCAGCAGAGCACTGTGGGAAGGGATTGGACAAAGGGGAGGATAGACACAAGCGTAGTAAACTTGGGGTGACATAGGGAAGGTGCTGGTCAGTCAAACCTGGGAATAGATATCATTGGCTAGGACTGGTGGAGCCAATCCAAGTCTGGGAAAATTTGGGAACACATAATCCCCCAAAACGAAGAAGCTCACCTTGGCTCTCTTGGGTCTTCGGTTCCTTTGGCTTGTTCCTACCCATGTCCCCTCCATAGTCCTGTGGCCCTGCAGACCCTTCATGCAATGGACTGATGAACTGCAATGGGGGACACAAGCTAAGCTAGCCTAATGCTGGATTAGTCTGTGCAGACATGGAACGGACACTCTGGGCAACAGCTTGAATCCTAGCCCGATTAAAGGCACAGCCGGACCGTTTCCTTGGTGGGATGAAGGGAGAGGGGACCTTGGAAACTCAGGAGGGATACAATTCCACAGAAATAAAGCTTTCTACAGTATCTCATTCTCCCGTGCCAGTCTCAGAAAATTCCTTTTCTCAAGCTATCACAAGAAACCCACAGGCAACCTGTGGGGACAAGGAGAGCTCCCCACTGATTAGTTTTAGTGTTTTGAAATTGAATACCTTCCAGAACTTTCCTTTATTATTTTGATTACACATATATTTAATGCTATTTTTTTATGGCTCTTGGCCCATCCCTTATTTTTTATGAGAATATGATCTTTCAATTTTGCAGTTAGCTGGGATTACTATATATAAGAAAAATATCTAACACATATCTGCCACTTAGGATCTGACATTGTATCAGACCCTGTTCTAAATGCTTTTTTTAAATATTAACTCAATCTTTAAAACTATGAAGTAGGTATTATTACGATCCTCGTTTTATAGAAGAGAAGACAAGCACAGGGAGCTACATAATTTGCTCGAAGACGCACAGCTAGTACATTCTTAAAAGACCAGAAGAAAACACGCCAAGGTGGTTTTTCTCAAGGCATGCGGTTATAAAGGATTGTTAAGAGAGCTGTCATAATAAGATCTCAGACAGTGGCAGCTGAGTTGGAAAAGAGAGGACAGATTTCAGAGCAGTTTAAGAGAAAATACTGTCAGAGCTTGTGGACTGATTGATTCCACCTGGGGTTGAAAGAGAGGGAGATGGGTCTTAAGAATACTTCAGCCTCTGGCTCGGGGGTCTGCCTGGGTGAACATGATCACTGAGGTAGGGAACATGGAAGATTGGAGCAGCTTTGAGAGAGAAGATGGGGCACTCAGTCTGGACATGATGAACTTTATTAATTGTTTAAATATGCAAATTTTTAAAACTCAAGAAAGAAGTCAGGTCTGGACTTGAGAGTCTTCACACAGAGCTGGTAGTTAAACCCAGAAGAGAGGTTGCCAAGGAAGCAAGAAAAAAACTGTGGGCAGCCCTAACCGGTTTGGTTCAGTGGATAGAGCCTCAGCCTGCGGACTGAAGAGTCCCAGGTTCGTTCCGGTCAAGGGCATGTACCTTGGTTGCGGGCACATCCCCAGTACGGGGTGTGCAGGAGGCAGCTGATTGATGTTTCTCACTCATTGATGTTTCTAACTCTCTATGCCTCTCCCTTTCTCTCTGTAAAAAAAAAAAAAAAAAACTAAAATATATTTAAAAAAACAAAACAAAACAAACAAAAAACAACAACTGTGGGCCAAGGATAAAACTCTGGAGCACTTTAACTTTATGTGATTTACAAGGAATATGATGGCTATTCAGAGTTAACATTAAAATTAAAAAATAGATATGAAATGCAAGGCATATGTTTGCTTTTCCAGCTAGGTTTCATTTATGATAGATAAGGTAGCATGGGGATAGCTAGGGCAGGGCAGTCAGACAATTTGGGGTGCAAATCTAGCACTTCGCCACTAAATAACTCTGTCACTGCTGTCAAGTTACTGTCTGTAAAATGTGAATGATTAATACACTACTCATACCATTGTGGGTATTAAATGGGTTAATCCACAAAAGCACGTCTACGGCATAGTGCCTAGCATGTAGCGTGGACGCAATAAATATCCAATGTTATCACTAATGAGGACACAAATCATAAAATTATTTTTCATTCCACTATCATGCTTTGCCAGTTGAGAAAATGGTCAGGAGGTCTGCTGGTTAGCAGAAATAAACAAACGATAGTGGAATGAAATAATTGTATGAAAGCCACCAAAATAATTCACAGATACTCAAGAACTGGTATTTTCCCCATGAATTTGTATGGTATAGTACATGTAACCGAAGATCATAGCAGTTGGCTAAAAGAATTAGAAATGCTGGTTCATGAACTACAAGACTATTTAAACTTTTCTTTTGTTCTCTCAATATTTACCCCACTGCCTGGCGGTAAGTAATTAATAAATATGTTAACTGGATGTAACAAAGTGATTTAATAAAAAAAGGAGGGTAATTTTTTTTTATATCTGTGATTAAACATTTCACTATTGGAAGAATGATCAGTTGCAATGAAAAAGTAGACACCGTACGTGTCATCTGAAATCTCTCCAGAGTTTGGCTATGCAACTCTCTTCCCATCCGTACCTGCCGCACTTTTGAAATTCCCAGCCTTCCATAGGTTTCCTTTTGGAAGAGGGTTTGGAGTCCTCGGAAGGGCTCACTAAAATGCAAATACGTCCTCTGTAAATGGGAACCAACGTGGCTCCCGACAGACACGGACACAGTCCTCAGCCCTGCAGGGTGGGTGGCGAACTCCCGGTGGTCTCGACCTCGGGCGCAGGAGGGGCCGCTTCGGAGCTGACCTGTGGGGTCAGCCTCGGCCGAAGGCCAGGGCACCGCGGACCAGCAGCCTCGCTGCAGCCCGGGGACAGGGCCCGCGGCAGGGCGCCGCCCGCACAAAGGCGGCCCGGGCGGCCGGGTGGTGGGGCGGGATGCCGTCACGCCCGGGCCTCCCGGTTTTTCCCGACCCTTCACCCCGATTCTTCCTAGAGCCCGCTGGCTCTCTTCAGAACGACCACGGCCTGACGAGTGGGTCACAGCGATGCTCACTTTTTTTTCCTTCTTCAGTGCACCGCCAGTTCCCCAGCACATTGGGGGCTGGGGACGTGGCCAAATCGAGTTAAAACCTGAAATGTCTTTTTTGTTCCTTTCAGTTCAGCTAGTTTAAATCCCTTGCAATATTGAAGCTGTGGGCTAATACGTATTGTGCAATTCTCGGTTTGCCGTTGCAAAGGCAGTGCAACTTATAAATACCGTGCTCGGGGTCCCGGCGGGGAAAACCAGACCCAGTTAAACGCCTAGTCAGCGCCGACTCAAGAGTTCCGGCCCCCGCTTCCGCCTTCCCGCGCTTCCTTCTACCGCGGACCCGATCCCATCAGCTTGAGCGCGCGCTGGGGGGCGGGGCGCCGAACAGAGGCCGTCACGTCCCGAACGTCGGGAGGCGGGGACTATGCCTGTGACGTCACGAGGCCACGCCCCTCACCGTCCCGATATCATTCCCGCCGCCCGCCATTTTGTCTCCAGTGTCTCGTTTGCCGTGGACAGCGTGGAAGGGAGTGTCTGGGTCTGTAGACGTCAGGCAGCGACCAGGGTCTATTGTCTGAGTTTGACCCCATAGTTCGGTCCGAGGCCTTCCGGAAAAACGGCAGAGGCCGCCGCGACCGCCCCCGCCCCTCCCTCCGTCCCCGGGACCGGGAGGGACCCATCCCGCGTCACGCCCCTCAGCGCTCGCCGCTCCCTTCTCTGTCGTTGCGCCCGCCTCGCACCCCCGGAATCAGACGGTGCCCCATAGATGGCCAGCTTTCCTCCGAGGGTTAACGAGAAAGAGATCGGTGAGGAACGGGACGGTGGGCGAGGGGTGCTGGCGAGCGCGCGGGGGCTCGGAAGAGGCAGGGACCCGGTTGGAACTGAAGATAAACAATAAAGGAGGCGTCACATTACCATTCTGCTCATTTCTCAGGAACTTCTGACTAATCATATTACAATGCACCTTATTTCCATAGGCTCAGAGAGGGAATGTTAAATCTCATAATGAAGAAAACTCCAGAGTCTTAAGGAACTCTAGAAATGCTAATATGAATGACCTGCTACATTAGCATAGTTAAGAAATCCTATACCGTTATTGCCATTTTGAAATATGTTGAACCATGGGCAAATGGTTTGAATAATATATTTTTTTTTCTTTGCCAAACACGTGTTTGGAATCTCAAATCACCGGTGACTGGTTACCCTCATTCATTCACTTTTTGCCATCTTTATTTAGTCAGTCACAAACATTTATGGCTAGCTAAAATGTATGTTCAAGAGTATTGATTGCAAAATGTTTAATAATATAAAAAATTAGAAAGAACCTAAATGGCCATCCACATGGAGTTAATTAAATGAGCCATGCTCCATCCATACAGTGGAATAATATGCAATAGTTCAAAGATGTAAGG